TTCTTCTCGTCGGCTACAATGACAGCGCCACAGTGCCGCACTGGATCATCAAGAACTCGTGGACCACGCAGTGGGGCGAGGATGGCTACATCCGCATTGCAAAGGGCTCGAACCAATGCCTTGTCAAGGAGGCGGTGAGCTCCGCGGTGGTCGGTGGCCCCGGAGCCACTCCCGAGCCAACCACCACGACAACCACAAGTGCCCCAGGACCGTCCCCATCGTACTTTGTGCAGATGTCCTGCACTGACGCTGCGTGCAGTGTGGGGTGCGAGAACGTGACGTTACCGACCGGTCAGTGTCTCCTGACCACCAGCGGCGCCTCTGCCATTGTCACGTGCGGTGCTGAGACTCTCACAGAGGAAGTCTTCTTTACGAGTACGCACTGCAGCGGCCCATCGGTGAGGTCCTCTGTTCCTCTCAACAAATGCAACCGGCTGTTAAGAGGCTCCGTTGAGTTCTTCTGCGGCTCCAGCTCCAGTGGCCGACTGGCCGACGTTGACAGGCAGCGTCGCTATCAGCCATACCACAGCCGTCATCGCCGTCTCTGAGGGCACTCTTTGTTTCTGATGCTGCTTTTTTCTCATTTTACTTTCTTATTATTATTGAGCGAGCGTCGGTGCTGCGGCACACCGGGAAAACAAGTCCCAGTGGAGTGGATCGTTTATTGATTTGCTCTGTGCATGCTTTTTTTCTATTATATGCTTCTGTTGAGCTCCCGAGCACTCCCCACTGTGGCTGAACCCACCGCCGTCCCCGACTGTCAGCCGACCATGCGGGGCGGAGTGGCGTGGCGACGCTCCTTTGCCGTGGCGTGCACATACACGCGCGCATGCTCCTTCTCTCCACGTCAACGCCCGCACACCACCACAGTCTGAAGGTGACGCTGTTGAAGGCACACAAGGAAGGAAACACGCCCACACAAGCAGTAATGTCTGGCTGGGCGCGTGCGCTGTCGCTCGCGGCCGTCCTGGTCGTCATGGCGTGCCTCGTCCCCGCGGCGACGGCGAGCCTGCATGCGGAGGAGACGCTGGCGTCGCAATTCGCAGAATTCAAGCAGAAGCATGGCAGGGTGTACGGGAGCGCCGCGGAGGAGGCGTTCCGCCTGAGCGTGTTCCGGGCGAACCTGTTTCTTGCGAGGCTGCACGCCGCGGCAAACCCACACGCGACCTTCGGCGTCACGCCCTTCTCGGACCTCACGCGCGAGGGGGCCCAGCCACCATGGAGCGCATGCCGACCCTCCTGGGCGTCAATTTCCGGAATTCCGTGGAATGGGCGCGCGCGTGGCGGCGCTCCCCGAGGAGGCAAACCAGCGCCCACCACGAATGGCACCGATTCCGCCCGCCGCGTGGGGAACTAAGAGAGACACCCTGCGGGCGTTCTGCGTTGCACCGGCGCGGGCGAAGGCGATGTACGGCATCGGAGTGTGGTGCGGAGTGGCCTTCCCAGCGTCCCGCCCCACGTCGGATTCGCACATTACAGGTCGTGCGAGAATCGTTGCGGGAATACCGAAAGGCGGCCGAATGGGGGATGCCGTGTTGGACGTGAAGCCGCGGCCCCTCTCCGACACAGCGCGGTGGTACTTTGCGGTCCGGTGCCTCCGCCGTCTGCCACCCACAGCGCCCCGCCAGAAAACCACATGACCCCGCGCCCTGCGCTTCGGTGAGAAGCTCGCGGCCCGCAGCCCGAGTGCGTTCCCACGCCTCTCGCGACGGCGCCGCCGCAGATGGTCCCGACGAATTCGAGCCCCGACTTTGGAACTGCCGGATCGCCCGCCGCTTCCGGCGCAAAGGCCCGTCGCCACGCCCAGAAGGAAAGCGCCACCAGGCGTGGGCAGACGGCTCTGCGGAGCTCGGCGTCAAATCGGGAGCGGTGGCGGCGCGCTACCTGAAGGAAACGCCGCTCAGCATTGCCAGGGCCGGCGGCGGACCGACAAATCGCCGCCACGGAGCCGGACGCGTCGCCCCACCTATTGGTCTAGGAATCTGTTGAGCACCACCCCGCTGACAAGCACTGCGCCGTACAGAGTGCCAATCTTCACGGCCCGCTCTCTTTGGCGCCCTGCAAAAGGGTCCTCCTACGGTATCCGACCCGACGGCTCAGGGGCAAAACCCACCGCTCCACTCTAACAGTCGACCGGGGCCCACGCGCACGGACTCCGCCCTCGCTCGTGGGGAACAGGCCGCATTGGCCCGCCTCCGCACCGGGGCTTCAGACAAACACGGACGACTGCTATGGCTACTGCGACTCGCCGCTCCGGACGGATGCCGTCGGTGCGGCCCGGACGCCCCACAACAGAAACGCAAAAAAACCCGCACGGAAATGCCTCCTCCTCCCGCTGGGAGCGCCACTCGTCACCGCAGCGAGGACTGGAGCGAGACACTGCACACCGATCGGGCTTCCGCCACAGACCGCGCGGCCCAGGCCGAAGCCGTCGCCCCGCAGTTCCCGCACGGCGTCGGGCAAACGAGAAGCCGGACTCAGGCTTCGTCTTCGATGCCTCCACGATCACCAACGCTCCGACAAGTAGGGAGCGTCCCCGGGGAAGATGACGCTCCGGCTGCGCCACCCGCGCTCCAGCGCACGCCCCGTGGGTTCGAGGCCCCGACGAAAGCGAGGCTGGCATCCAACACGCGCGCGCAAACGAACACCCCCAGACAGCGCCGCAGCCGGCACCCGAGACCAAGGCGCCCCTTCAAGGCCCTTGCTGCGACAAACGGGCGGGTAATGCCGGGGGATTGGCTCTTCACTTCCGGTTCGGGCGCCCGGACCGTAAGAAAGACACGGCAACAAAAACACGGATAGGACACCCGCGCGCCGTGGGGGCCGCACCTCCAGAGGAGTAAGGCCAAATCCCGCGAAAACCTCGCCTCCGCGAAGGAGGGGCGCCGCCAAAGAGCAGCGCGCCGTGTGCCCAAAACGCCGTCACGGAATCGGCGAAAGTGTGACGTTAATAAACGGATGTGGGCGCACCAGTGGCGTCAGACCGCCGAGGAAGCGCACGTCGCCCGGCGAAGACACCCCGACGGGATCACCACCTGTCGGACATCGCCGTCAAACATGCGGTTTTCGGCGCCACAGCGATGACGGACGAACCGGAGATCGCGAAAGCCAGCCAACGCGAACCGTGCCATGAGAAATGTCGGCGTCTACTCCACCGCCCGGCTCTGCAGGCGCCTGGGCAAAAACACGGCGTGAACATCGGAGAAGCGAGGAAGCCGTGTTGCACGAAAATGTTGGCGCGGTTTTTCCTCGGGATGGAAAGGCGCTGCCCAAAAGCACTACCACGCAGCGAGAAGGCACAAAGCCCCCCACAGCGGCGGCACAACGTCGGTGCTCCTCGCCGGTTCCCCTCCCTCCCTTTCCTTATTCGTGGGCTGCGTGGTTTACTGGTTTGTTGGTTTTTGTTGGTTCTCGGGCGCGCGGCGCGTGTGTGCGTTTTGCGCCTTCCACCGCGGCTTTCTCTCCGGAGCCGAGGCCCTCCTCCACGTCCCCGCCTCGCGGGTGGACGCGCTCTGCGATGGTGGGCGTCGTGCGGGCCATCGCGCTTGTTTGAGAAAGCAAGAGTAGAAAAAAATAAGAAAAAACGCCTCACGTCCTCACACGCGCTCTCTGCCCCTTTTCGTTTTCTTCTTAGTCTCTCGCACCAACAGCGACCATGGCGAAAAAGAAACTGCCGACGACGAGACGGAAGCTGAGGCGGGTTGCCGTGCTGCTGTTTCTCTTCATTGTGGCCACGATTGTTCTGTCCTTCAGGTCCGACACCGCCGCCGATGATGGCGCACCGGGGCCAAACAACCCTCGCCACCCGCGCGCGGCCGCAGCGGACGATGCAGCACTTGCTTACATCCCACGCCGTGTTGTGGGCACGTGGGGCCGGCGGGAATATCTGATTGTGCTGGGCATCCCCTCCCCGGACAACGAAGAAAGGCGAACACGACGCAACCTGCAGCGGACGACGTGCTGGCGGTTCCCCGGAGTGGCGACGAGGGCGAACGACTTCACCGGTGCGATGCTCGTGCTGTACGTTCTTGCGCGACACCCGTCGCACGGATACGACTACTCGGCCGCGCTGCTGGAGGAGGCGGCGCAGTGGCAGGATGTGGTTGCGCTGCCGATGAACGAGGGCCGCGTGGCGACGAATAAAACAGTTTGTGGCGATGGCTCCTGGGGCGATGAGACGGAAGTTGGTATGTCACGCAAGGTGTACATGTGGTTTGACCTTGCGCTCCGCCTTTTTAAGACCGCGATGTACATTGCGAAGGGCGATGACGACATGTTTCTCCGTGTGCCGCTGTTCGTTGCTCACCTGCGCCTTCTGCCGCGCCAAAGGATTTACATGGGATACCACGTTGGTGTTGGGAGTTTCGGGAAAAGGGGTTTACCAGGTAGCACGTTTATGGTTGGCTGGTGCTACACCTTGTCGAGGGATGTGGCGGAGGCGTTGGTTTCGTACAAGCCGCTGCGGCGCCTGGCGTACCTGCCGTACAGCGAGGAACGCTATGACGAGTTTGCTCTGCTTCGGTTTCAGCACGAAGACATCATGGTCGGGTGGGTTCTTGAGAAGGAAGTGAAGTACCGCCCGTTGGTATACGTCAAGGTGCTGCCCTGTCATTTCCATGACGCCCGCAATGAAACGGGGCACTCGCAGGTGGTGCCGACCTCGATTTGTGTCCATCATGTGCGGGAGGACGACTACGCTTCACTGATGGCGCGCTTCGGTAACGACACATCGCCTGTTGCCCGTGTGGAACGGGCGTCCGACGACACGATATACCCGCTGTGCGATTGACAAGTGAAATAAATGATTTCTTTTCTGTGCGTGTTAACTCCTAATGTGTTGCTTGATCGTTTGCTGCATCCCGTTTTTTGTTCTATGTACTCTGTGGCCGAACGAAGTGAAATGTGTCATTGACCTCCCGTGCCCCTGTGGAGCGTGTCACTCCCTGCCCTCAACCCGCGTGCGGGACGTGGTGGTGGAGCCAGTGGGAGCCCGTTGCTTTGTGCCGCGGGTGTGCTTTTGCTGGGAGCATGTGACGAGAATGTGCGTGTGTGGGCTGAGCCGTCAATGAACAATGTATGTAGGTTTGTAGAGAGAATTATCCCCTTATTCTATTAATTGCGCGATTGGAAAATGGAAGTGATTCAACGTTTTTTTGCTGTTGCTCTTGTTTTTTTGTGTGTGCGTGTGTTTGTGTGCGTTGCTTTGGCCTTCCCACTCCAGAGCCCTCACTTCGCGGTTGGGGGCCGCTGGGAATGTATTCTTGTGTTTTCGTGTGATTTACTTGCGAACGGAGCGTCCCACGGTGCGGCTGCTGTCAGTGCCGGTGGTGTGGCTCCCGGCGTGGGGAGAGTGTGTGTCGTGACGCTCTCCCCGCCGCTGGTGTGCCCAGTGGGCGGAGCAACGCCAGTGACACAAAGTTCCTTGCTTGTTGGCGACGCAGCTGTCCTTTTTTTCCCCTGCTTTTGTTCTCTTGTAGCAGACTGCACAGTGTAGGGGCGGTGCGGGCGGACTCGCGCACGGAGAGGCTTGGGATCGCAGCGTCCCATAGACTCCCGTGGCGATACCGTTGCGCAGCGGTGCGTCGAGAATTTGTTCCCAGTTTGTCAACGCCGGGGAGCGCACGAGGCACACCGAGCGACAGGGCAGCACAGCACCCGGCATCGCCCCGTCTAAGGGCTGTGTCGCCATCCACTGGACAGCGCAGCCCTTGTCGGACAGTGGCCACCGCATCGCCCTCCTTCATGTCCAGCTCGGGGACGACAAAACACCCGCAGCGGTACCGAAGCTTAACCGGACACCATCAGCACGGAGGAAGGCGAATTGAGCAGGCGTGGCGGAATGTTCAACCAGCTCCGCAGAATCCCGCAAGAATTAGGCAAAATGGGCAGCATAGAGAAGCACATTGCGTCAGGAATGCGGAAAGCCACCGACACAACGGTCCCTGCAGGGAGCCGCCGGCCACCCAGTCTCCGACGCAGGGAAGCACTGCGCGGAGCACCCAAAAGCCGATGGCGCGCGCCCGCTCCAAACCCGAGGCCACGGGCGACAACAGCCGGCAAGCAGCGTGCCTTGTGTATGCGCCTCGCCCCCAGCACGCCAGCCACGAAAGCGGACGGCACCGTGCCCAGCACACACCGGAACGCCAGCCAGACAAAGCCTTGGGCGGCGGGAGCGGCACGGCACCCAAAGCACTGCTTTCCGCCACCGACCCCGACGAATGCTAGGGACCCCGTCCCCCACAACCATGGCGGAGCCAAAACGCACCCTACGGCTGTTGCTCTTGGGACCGGCACCCGGCTCCGACGGAATACGTGGAAAGGAGCCGCGCCATCTAGGCCATGCGGCGGGGCGTGCCGTCTTGCGGCTGTTGAATAGACGCCTGCGTGCGGAAGCCGTCCGGCGGGATTGGCGACGCGTGGTTGTCACCATCACCTTCCTCAAGCCAAAGAAAACGGCATCCGACCGCGACCCCACCGACCCGTCACGCTGACCAGCTGCCCCGGCAAGCTCATGGCACGCATCCGAGACGCCATCGAGTCCCAGTTGGCCCGACAATCCCACCCTTGACCGATTGCTGCGCCTCAGGGCTGCCATGCGCCGCGATGCCCCGCAACACCGCACGGCGGCCGTCTTTTTGCTCGTCGCCCGAGCCCCCGACGCGGCAGACCGTGACAAAGTTATCTTTGAAATGCGGCGACTGTCGATCTCCAAGCGCATCGCGCGCTGGTCAGCAGCATTTCTCCGCATCACAAGCTTTGCGGTGCGCGTCGGTAAACTTTCATTCTCTCCCAAGACCCCCGCGCGGGGAGCGCCGCAAGAGACGGCGGCAGGCCCCACCACGCCATCATCGCCATGAACTCCCTTAGCGCTCGACTTTTGAACGCGCCCTTATCACACGGCACGGCGACAGGGACACGGCCAGCCCGGCCCCACAAGAATGCCAGAACGCCGCGGCAAACCCACACGCGACCTTCGGCGTCACGCCCTTCTCGGACCTCACGCGCGAGGGGGCCCAGCCACCATGGAGCGCATGCCGACCCTCCTGGGCGTCAATTTCCGGAATTCCGTGGAATGGGCGCGCGCGTGGCGGCGCTCCCCGAGGAGGCAAACCAGCGCCCACCACGAATGGCACCGATTCCGCCCGCCGCGTGGGGAACTATGAGAGACACCCTGCGGGCGTTCTGCGTTGCACCGGCGCGGGCGAAGGCGATGTACGGCATCGGAGTGTGGTGCGGAGTGGCCTTCCCAGCGTCCCGCCCCACGTCGGATTCGCACATTACAGGTCGTGCGAGAATCGTTGCGGGAATACCGAAAGGCGGCCGAATGGGGGATGCCGTGTTGGACGTGAAGCCGCGGCCCCTCTCCGACACAGCGCGGTGGTACTTTGCGGTCCGGTGCCTCCGCCGTCTGCCACCCACAGCGCCCCGCCAGAAAACCACATGACCCCGCGCCCTGCGCTTCGGTGAGAAGCTCGCGGCCCGCAGCCCGAGTGCGTTCCCACGCCTCTCGCGACGGCGCCGCCGCAGATGGTCCCGACGAATTCGAGCCCCGACTTTGGAACTGCCGGATCGCCCGCCGCTTCCGGCGCAAAGGCCCGTCGCCACGCCCAGAAGGAAAGCGCCACCAGGCGTGGGCAGACGGCTCTGCGGAGCTCGGCGTCAAATCGGGAGCGGTGGCGGCGCGCTACCTGAAGGAAACGCCGCTCAGCATTGCCAGGGCCGGCGGCGGACCGACAAATCGCCGCCACGGAGCCGGACGCGTCGCCCCACCTATTGGTCTAGGAATCTGTTGAGCACCACCCCGCTGACAAGCACTGCGCCGTACAGAGTGCCAATCTTCACGGCCCGCTCTCTTTGGCGCCCTGCAAAAGGGTCCTCCTACGGTATCCGACCCGACGGCTCAGGGGCAAAACCCACCGCTCCACTCTAACAGTCGACCGGGGCCCACGCGCACGGACTCCGCCCTCGCTCGTGGGGAACAGGCCGCATTGGCCCGCCTCCGCACCGGGGCTTCAGACAAACACGGACGACTGCTATGGCTACTGCGACTCGCCGCTCCGGACGGATGCCGTCGGTGCGGCCCGGACGCCCCACAACAGAAACGCAAAAAAACCCGCACGGAAATGCCTCCTCCTCCCGCTGGGAGCGCCACTCGTCACCGCAGCGAGGACTGGAGCGAGACACTGCACACCGATCGGGCTTCCGCCACAGACCGCGCGGCCCAGGCCGAAGCCGTCGCCCCGCAGTTCCCGCACGGCGTCGGGCAAACGAGAAGCCGGACTCAGGCTTCGTCTTCGATGCCTCCACGATCACCAACGCTCCGACAAGTAGGGAGCGTCCCCGGGGAAGATGACGCTCCGGCTGCGCCACCCGCGCTCCAGCGCACGCCCCGTGGGTTCGAGGCCCCGACGAAAGCGAGGCTGGCATCCAACACGCGCGCGCAAACGAACACCCACAGACAGCGCCGCA